GCGTACCAAAGTTATAGGCATTAATGCCATCAGCGTACCAACGTTATGGGCATTAATGCCACCCTGATTTTAAAAAATCGCATGAAAATGATTCAGGTCTAAGATAAAGTAGGATACGCATTATACCTGAACATGTCCGTGACAAGTGCTGAACCAGCAGCCAAGTGTTGAAAGGCTTCAGCCTGTTTTGACTGCAGCCGTTCCTTCCTCGGCATTTTGCGTACCACAAAAAACTGGCCAGGCCAGTGATTTTGCACACAACGTACGTGAGAATTAATCAGGGCAGTTCCGATCGACCGTACCGATGTCATGTATGTAAAGTTCGGATCGTGCGCAGCACTAAACTGCAAACACTACATTGCGGTGTTAGTTAAAATACTGCCCCAACCATACAATTGTCCTGTGTGCACAAAAACCGTGAAGCTCTCGATATACTGATAATGCGTACACGTTGATGAGCACTTGTTCTAGACTGAAATTATTGCATGGTACATTATAATACTTGGCTTGGGCATACGCTGTTATGTTAAGTCGTTGGATAGGCCGATGGGTGTTGCCTGTGCTGTGCTTTGCTTGTGATCGTGCAGTGTGCATGGAGCGGGCCGGGCTGCCGGTGCACGGCAGCCGTGTACGATATTCCCACATACACACATGGCGCGCATGCCATGCATTTGGATGGTGCAGCGCGGTGTTCCAATCGAATGTGAGCAATCAAGGAACGATGTGTATGCCGCTTTCCATGCCGCTTTCCGTGTACCTCGCTGAACAGGGGCAGTCGATATGCACGTGTAGGTCATTACGGCCAAGAGAAAAAAGGGCACCGCCATCTTGGCGGTGAAACACGATCACTTTTCGGAGGCACCACGGCCAAATGGAAGGGCACTGATGGCCATGGCCGTCATGAAATTCGAGGCCTGAAAACATCAATACAATCATTTCAGGTGCTTAGAGATTGTTCAGTCACAATAACCCTCTCTGCCCTCACAATCTGACAGTACACATACCAATGGCCACCATATTGTACAGGATGCAAGGTGAAGCAGTGATTTTTGTAATGACTGTACAGACTATAGACTTCTTCAAACTGAGGAATCACAGAGAAACTAACCACACACATTACCTTTGTGGGCACCCCGTCTGCTTCTGCTTCTAGCCTTGAACTCTGGCCCCTCAAACTCAAGGTCGTCAATCACAGCTTCTGGCTGGACAATGACCGTGCCTGTGAAGGTATACCACAAAGGCGCGCTGGCCAATCGTCACAATGCAAACACAACAGAGGAACGTGTATGGGTAAACCCAGTCTGCCACTTGCACAAGCACATGTACCAAACACACTTATGAATGGCTACATGCCTCAGCACCTTCATATGGGCACAAGCAGAAACAGTACTCAGCTGCACGCTCATGTGCATTGGGTTGGTTTGACCAGGCCAAGCTGACCAAAGTATTAGACATGAACCAAATCCAAACCAAAATCGAGCTCTCCCGTTCCAACTAAACCCGACCCGACAAAAATTAAGGTCAAACTACCCTCCCCCAATAAATGCCTGGCTAGAATAAATCGTCCTACAATTCGTCCCCTTTTTGTGCCTGTGTAGCATGAAGTCTTCCTGATAAATCATGACAAGAACTCAGAACTCACCATGTAATTCACAGTCATAGTTGGAATGTAGAAATGAGCCAGTTTAGCATTCTAACAGCGCAGGCGCAAAGGAAGTCTGTCCAAGGTCATTCGAAAATGCGTGCAAAGTCTGCCGTATCTGCACGGCCCTACACAGACTCTCACATGCTTTGTTCCTGAATAACCTTGCAGTTTTGAAATATTGAAGTGGCTCACTGATACCATGGGAACAAAATCAGGCATATTGGATATAAACGGTACACGGTGGCTCTGCAGTAATAACGCACCAAGCAAATGTCTGGACTGTTTCCACTTGAAATCCACCTACATGTAACTCAACTAAGATGGTAAAAAAAAACAACTCAACTCAAAATCAGGTCTGGTTCGGGTCAGTTTGAGGTCAGGTTGGTAAAACATTACTGTACCCTCAACTTATCACAGTGAAAAAAAATTAATGGTCCCACAAAAGTTAAGTTGCAATTAGCAAGCTCCTTATTTAAAAAACTGATGTCTTTCAGAACAAAGCCTATGGATGAATAAGCATGTGCTCACATAGCTGTTCCCAAATAGTCTTGTACAGAGCATGCACTGTTGGAATATTGAACTGGCTCATTGGTAAAGAACTGATCCAATTTGTGAGATGTCCTCTTAGGCCGCACACGTAAGTCTCAGCCACAGTTGGGATTCAAGTATCAACAGGGAAAGATGCTGCAGCAACCAGCTAGTGGCTTATGCAAGCACACGTTGACTGCCATCCATAGCCCAAACATCGAGCAACAAACTTGGGGGATCAAGTTGGCATAGCAGTACTCTCCTTGCCTTCCACCTCTGCAACCCGGCTTCAAATCCCTCTCGGGCTGACACATGGACTGGGTTTCAGTCTCTGATTCCATGGATTTATCCCAGAATACTCATCCAGGGTCCCCCCCCCTCTAAAAGTCAAACTGTCTTTTCCCCCGGGAGAAGAAAAATTGCATGTACATGACAGGACCTGCCTGGGTAAATAATACATCATAAATGAAAATAGCCAAAGCATCCAAATTACTTGGCTGTGGCTTGAAATCACACACTGCCATAGACTTGTGCATGACTTCAATCCGCAGTGAAGTAAATCTGACATGGACTTACCCTCAGGAAGTTCAGGTTCTTCTTTATCATTCTTTATCACCTCTGCTGTTGGATTCCCCATATCGTTGCCCATCCCATTGCACTGGACTTTGCTGCTGGTGCCAGGGAGCTCTGTATCAAAGAAGGCAGGGTTCTCTTCCCCTTCCTCCTCCAAGTCCATTGCTGGGCCGTCTTCAATGACCGGCTGCCTCGTAATGTGCAGAGGCACCCTTGCTTTTCTGTATAATGAGCACAAAAAGGGAGCCAAAGGGAATTCATAAAATGGACAACAGCAATTATCTTCAATAAAGTGCACCACCACTGGAGTGTGACCAGTTTTATTTATTTATTTATTTATTTTTGTAGATTCAAAGGGATTTAAGTCAGATTTTTGCGTGCAATTTATGTGTGACTAGCAAGGAGTTTATTTGTGAGGTTTCAAAAGCATTTCTGTTCACACACGATTGCACAAGAAACAAAATATGGACAATCAACTGCAAAATAACACAAGATATTGCTTTCTTTTATAATCATTGAAAATATCCCACTTAAGTAGTAAAAATACATGTAAATGTGCTGCACTGTCTCAGCAGTTGGGAGACAAATTTTCACAAGCTTCCTCAGGTGTGACTAAAACCCACAAATGCATTCTGCTTCTTGAAGGACGTGGGCCAAATCTAACAACTTTTGTCAATCACACATGAAAATCAGTCAAAACTAAATTCACTGGATGTTTAAATGGTCCTCACAAAATGTGATCACCTTGCCAACAATTAGCAATGCTCACCTACCAAAAGTGTGTAGATAATATCGTACTTCAGTTATGGCATTGAGCTTACCTTCTTGATGAACCTGTCGGCATCTGTCAAAAAAAAAAGAGAGATATCTTACAGCATTAAAGTAGCTACATTATAGACATGTAAACAGCTACAGAGTGCAAAGTCCTATTTACAAGTATCATGGCTATTCAGTTCCAAATTTTGCCTTGTGATCACAACCCACATGTACATGCAATCACGCATCAAAACAATGTCTCAACTTCAAGTTTCATCATTTTTAACATCCAATGATTAGACAGTACAATGCTGCTATAATGCACAAAGCAGGTCATACCATACAAAATGTTTGGAATATACATGTATAACACTTGGTCAATATTTAAAGCAATTTCAGTCACCAAACCACCCATTCCTAGCTCCAGCCTGTTCAAACGTATGGCAGCCTGCCTCAAGAATGTTTCTGCATGAGGATTTTGGACCAACACTTCAAACTCAGACACAAAATATCACGTTAAAAATAAATAACACCCAAATGCATGCATTTTGTTCAATGCATACTCATTTCCTTCCATTTCAGCTTTTTGAATCACTGGAGGAAATGAAGTTTTCCAACAGTTTTCCTAAAGTCATTGCTTAAATATCACATACCACATGCAGAACAGTTCAACTGGTTCCCGCTTGCACATTGTAATAACAGATGGGCTGGGAACCATTCTGTAGCACTGGAGCTAAACTGGTACACGTACCGTACATGATGTCTCAAGTTGGCAACTTATATGTCCGCCAATGGTTGATGAAAACATTTAAAACTTCTTATACCCAAAATATTTCACCCAGATTTCTGTGATTAAAAATGCATTGCTGACATTTTTTTTTTCAAGTGTCCGCAATGCACACATCCATGCATGCAATGTACCCGTAAACTGTAAGGACACTGCCATGTTGGCTCGTTTCTTCCTGCAGATGATTGTCCTTAGCTTGAACTTATTACCATCAGCCAAGACGCGTTTCTTTTATTTATTCAAAGCAAATATTCAGTGATCGGCACTAGTGCACAAAATTTAATGGAGAGCCAAGGGGGACGTTTAGTGCACCGAACTGTTAAATGGAGGTTCTACATGGCAGCCATCTTGCAGGTAACTGCTTTTGTTATGGAGGGATAGCACAGAAGATTTACTCATGTGTATCCCTGTGGAACAAAAGCTCGTAACAGAAAAATGGCTGCTGTACATAACCTCTATAGCAGTGCTTGGTATGTTGGTGTTGTACTAGTATCACTGACTGAATGTCAAAGCTTTTTTCTTCCCTTGTGTTTTAACACAGAAAATCAAGCTACGAGTCTGATGAGAGTGCATCATCAATGGGGAGATGGGTCATATACTCTCTGCTATTACTGGCAAAGGATGGCAAAGACTCGCTTTCAATTTGGCACTACATGTACATGTATATTTAAAACACTGGAGAATTCAAGTGTGGTCAGATACCTTTTTAAGTTAGAAATCCGGTGGCCTCACAAATGGGTAAACTGGACCTTTTACTATCTGAAAACCTGGGCCCTGAATACCTCTGAAAGTTGGACCTTTATTTTACTGCTGAAAAGACGTACCTTTCTGATGGATTCACTGCCAGTGGCTACACTCATGGTCTTGATGGACGCACAAAAAAAGCAACCCACTATCTGGCCAGTGACAGCGGATCCAATGTGATGACCGAATGTGTCAACCGAATCTACACGTATCAAGAGATCATAGTAATCAGCGGTTCTTGCAACAGAGACACTGTTTGTTACACCATCAGCGTGAGTGAGACTTAATGTAGAACATCCATACACCACAGGATAATGGCCAAGTGGCATATGGGACAAAGAGTCACTTAATTATATGAGATAACCAACACATAAGTGAAATACACATAACCACTTCATCTTACAGCAAACTTGATGCACATGCAACCCGGTTAAAACACTGCCGACTGCACTTCTGAATCACTTCATATGGGGAATATAGTACATAAACAGAGCAACGTGAAGCAGGGATTCAGCCAAAAGGCGAACTTGTGGTTTCAATGCAGCATACATTGTACAACAGACATTCTTTTCATTACAGACTTAAGACAAAAGCACTTTCTTCTTATAGGGAGCTAAATAGAGAATTTTTAATGGCACATGTGACATTTTGACTTAATGTGCATTTTATATCAGCAGTACATAACACTTGTTATATACTTTAATTAGTGGTGACACAGGACCAAGTAATTGGATTATAACAAATATATGAATATTTATACATTCATTAATTATTCATATGCATATACTTAATATAATAAATATTAATGCAGAACAATTAATATTAATGAGCTATTTGCATATACTCCAGACACCCACAATGCATTGCACAAAATGGCTGTGTCTTTTTTTTTTCATTTCAGATTTCAGAACCCAAAATCAAGTTTATATTAACCTTCCTACAACTAAAGACTCTATGGGGAAATTTGATCAGTAATAGAGATCTCATAATGCTGAAGGCTGTGCACTTATGTTAATTACTGAACTCAAAGGGTGCGTACTAGTATACAAATCACATTACAAGTCTGAAAAAAAAACCATCTATATCCTTTGACTTTCATTATGCTTGAGTACATCAGCACAATTTTTACCCTCTTGGTTCATGCTTGAATTTATTAAAGTACAACCAGGGCAGGTTAGTGCAGTGCACCACATAAAATTACTGCAAAATCAAGTACATGTAAGATCTTCATATGAGTATCAGTATACACGTGCCAAACACACATAAGAATAATATACATGTATGTGTAATATGATAGATGTGCACAGGACACCTGTTTTTGTACAATGAAGAAAACATGTCTATAACTCGGCCTTTTCTTCAAATGGAGATGTACTTTTGGCTGATCACACACGTGTATTTCTTGAAATTCAGGGGGATACAATTAGGGATGCACAGAACATTTAAAAAAAACTTGTAGTGGTTTTGAAACTGCCACTCAATTAACATCAAGGTCAGGGATATGGTGATGGTAGAATGGGTCATGGCTTCAAAGGTAGCTGAGCATGCAAACACAGTGGTTTATTGATTCCCAACTCATTAATAACAACTGTTGGCATACATGTATCTCCCAAGGCATTTTTTAACCTTTCTGAATTCTCTGAAATCCTTTGTACAGGAAATCAATGGCACATTCTCAGTGCATGTACTTCAAGATTCTACAGGAATAACATTAATCAAGCCCCTAATTATCCTCAATCTTGCAATATCCTTTAAAATCCCTCATGGCAGATTTTGCAACGGATACATGTACATGTAGGCTAATATAGGCTAATCTGACAACTGGACTTCAAATACCATTATTACAGTGGCACCACACTCACACATGAGTGTCATGCCATTGTAGTAATGGCATCTCAGATTAGTCTTCTAAAACAACTGTGAATGTGAAAAGCAATTTATCAAAGTTGAGTTCACAACCAATTTCCCATTTTTCATTAGTCTCATACAAACATTGTGTGCTTCCAAAACTTCAAAAATATCTCAATGCTCCAGGTTCTCTTGCCTATTCAAATGCAAGGCAGGCCAGCACTACATGTACATCCTGACACAATATGAAAAGGATAAACGTCTAAGAAAACATGAATACACATTGACCAACTTGTGAAATGTTTCAACTTCAAATTGCTCCAACAACCAAAGAGGGCCATTACCAATTAGGCGCGACTGCCAATGTCAATACCAGGTTCCATTTTTCAGGCCAGGTACATTTTTTAAAAAATTATTAAAATTTACATAAAAAAGGAAAAAATATATTACTGTGATGTTTATGGTACACTTGTACAACAAACTGTGAATTATACATGTACATGGGAATACATTTCCACCATTCATGTAGCTGAAAGGAACCCTGCTAATGACACAAAGTGCCATGATAGCACGCATGGTTGTGCTGTCAAATCACCCTCTCTCAGGGATGGTTCTGCTATTTTGTTTTGGGGAAAAATATACCATGATGGTATTATTGTGGGGTGTGGTTACTTATTGATTTATGTTTCTTCACTTTGAAGGGTACAGGTATCCAATCATTACAGAAATGGGTGTACAACCAGGTCCACAAGTACCTAGATTAGAAAATGGATTGAGAGCAAATGTATGATGAGAGTGTATGCACAGGCATATGAATATCTCCTGATAATACTGCGATTCACAACAGCGCGCCTCCAAGAGTTTGCAATGCGGTTGGCCAATTACAACAAGCGAAATCTGTCAAACCTTTCCAAACGGACATTGGGTAGACAGATTTTGCGCATCATGATTGGCCACTGCACACAATCTAATTTTTTTTGTTCACTGAATCCTCTAGGACACGGTTCCTGTACAGTTCCCCTTAGAGAACATTGCTTCAAAACAATGTAATAGCACTAAATATCAAAGCAACTGTTGATAACTATGGTCTTTTTTACCAGCTCAGGGATGTACTGGCCATCTTTTACCTAAGGGGGCCTATGTCCCTGAGCAGTTAGAAATGACATTGCCCCTGCTGCAACAATCAAACAACTACTCCGAACACGCAACAACAAAATTTTCGGCCACCAGTTACGTTGCTGTTACATGAATATGTACAGATAGGGTAACTTTCGTCAAGCACTTTTCTTGAATCTAGACAACAGTCATTTGATGGACGCATTTCAGTGCACAGAGTCTTTTGAATTTTTATGCACTTATCGTGATTCGACAACCAGAATTAGAAGCCATTACTGCAGTGGCACAATGCTCGTGGGCAGGTGACACAACGCTTATGGACAGGTGGTACGAACGTCACATGCCTTCTCAATCAATACGGTTTCAGAATGTGCACAGCAAGTCATGGCGTAACTTAAGCAATCATTTTAGGTGGTGTAAATTGTGCTGAACAAAGTAAAAATGATGATTTGACTGACTTTGTTTTAACTTTGTTTTAAAAGGTTACGAAAAACCTGTTTGGCTGTAAGAGAACTTCAAGATTTTCTGCCTTGTTACAATGAAGAAAAGACAAAAAGTGTTTCAAAATCCCAGGCGGTCATTCAAAAATGTTATGACTGCTGTAACATGTTGTAACATTATGAACAAACAGCTGTCATTGAAGCCATGATTGCAACTGTTGATGCACGCGAAATGTGCCATGTGTTTACACCGTTTCGTCAGGAGAAGATAAGAGTGGGGAGTAAAAGCTCCAATTTTTTTTCAAGAAATAGTCACACGGTCTTGAACCCGTAGGTCATACGAGTTCAACAGATATCAATTCTGATGGCTTTTTGAGGGAAGATTTGATTGAGAAGTGGATTTTTTAAAACGAAAATGTGCCTCGATTTGACATAACAGGGCTGCATTCAAAATTCCATAGCGTTCACACGGACACTCAGATTCGGAGTTCTGTGAGTACAGAACTGAACGATGTCCATCCACCAAGCTTTGTGGGAGCACACAGCAGACGACAGACCCCATAGTTCTTGTACGGCCTGTTTGTTTCACATGAATCTGGATTTCAATTAGTGATCCTAACACTGGTTTAGCACCATCAATTAGGCGGGTTTTGGTGTCCATAAACCAACAACTGATCACTGATTGTGATCCAGATCAGAGGAATTGCAGAATATCCCCTAAAAATCCATGGCTACGTAGTCAAGTGGAGGTTGTTGAATTTCTGAGTTATCCTTGCTGCATTAAGGTACATGTTGTGTACAGTATTGAAGTCATTTTGGAGAATGAAGCACTCACTTGAATTACATACAACTCACTCGGGGCAGACTAAATGGGCCTTGTGTTGTCCTGCAACGCAAAGTGAATGGGGAAGGTGGAAGAATTTTCTGAGTCCAATGTGGGTCCTAGGGAGCGGCTACGAAGTGGGCCTTCTGGAAGCGTGACTCCGTAGCAACACTCCGTGTTCTGCAACTGTGCCTCCAGATCCGTGTGAAACAAACAGGGCCATGGTTCGGGGGTAACACTGGACTAGGCATGGGTTTGGTACTACCATGACTACTGTTTTTATGGATAGGTCACATACATGTACGTGTTCAACACACGCACACTGACCAAAAATTACAATATCCCTACAACTACAAAAACGGGATTGTATACTTGGGGACCCGCAGTTTTTAACATTTTAATCTTGCAAAACTGGTAAGTCCCCCGAAAGAAAGGCAAGACTCTCTTTATTGCGCTGACCCTATTCTTATGAAATTTCATATTGTAAATTGTGAGAAAATGTAACTTTCTTACTGATAAACTAACCATGCAAATTTGAATCCACCGTGTGTCATGTGTTATAATACTCACAATCCCTCAAAATTTCCCTCAAAACCCTGCCCTTTTTGACAATATTAACCCAAAATTATTGAGCATGATGTCACAGTCAACTACCAAGGTGAATTCAAAAGTTAAAATGTAGCTCTCCCTTCAATTAGAGGAACAGGGTCCCCAAATATACAATCTCCATAAGAACTACCCGGAGAGGACAGAACAGGAGCCCATGAAACATGAAATTCTACAGGAGGCCAACATGTACACTAATACGCACGTGCATTTGCCGCACGTACATGTACAATACATGTACACTGTACATGTACATGTGTACAATGTACATGTACTGTACATTGCTTGTCATAATGCTTTTTCAGTTTCCTGCTTATATTTGACCACAGAGTCCGTTAAATTCGGACTAGATAGGCTCACCTGGGCTTAAGTGTTTACTTTCACTGATGCCAGCATCTTGCACACAGAATACTGTCGAATTCAATGGCAAATCAACTTAAAATCAGAAATGTACGGGAACACAAAAAGATGCCGGGAAATCTTTTCCATTTTCACCGCCTTGTGTGTTTCGAGTGATTGCGCAGACGGCATGCGCAGGAAATTAATATACATGTTTCTGACTCCGCCCACATGCTTCTCAATGTCAATGGATGCACTTGCGTCAATTGTTTGCAGATTTCCTTTTTTACATGTACATGTACGGTGTACATGTACAATGTACATGTACATGTACAGTGCATGTACGTGTACATGTACAGTACAATGTACATGTACATGTACAAAGCGGGCAAATCCTGGTTTCAAACAAAAAAACCTCAGTACCTCGAATTATTGTACAATAAACGCAAATGTGAAAATTTGCAGGTGGTAAAGTCAGCGTGTCTTTCACTGGCATTTACCCCCACCCCACTTCAACTTCAAGCGATCTGGCATCCTGCCTCTCTCAACTTGCCTTACTTCAATCAGGGGTCTCCGGGAATTTCGTTGAGAAATTCTTCCGAAAATGCACTTCAATAGAGAACAATCACACTTTAATGCCATCTTGTAGCAATGTACCCCCCCCCAAAAAAAGCAATAATGTAAACAAGGCTTGAAAATTACCTGTAGTTTGAAACCGTAAAATCGTCCAAAAATATAAATGATTCGTTATTGAAGCTAATGCGTAAAAAAACTTAAACGCACAATCAGTAAGATCAAAATCCTTTTATTAGTTGGATTATGAAACCGCCGACCCCGGATAATGCAAATTGAGAAAAAAAGAATAGAGTTTTTAAAAATGACATTATATTAGTCCAGACAGTGTTTTTAAAAACAATTATATCTCCTCCAACTCTAGATACATTTAAGTTAGTTTGGGTGGAAATGGAATTTTTGAGCCTTTTTTCTGTCCTCCGACCCTGCAAAACGTCACCGTGTGCTCTTAATGCAATAAATCAAAATTGCTGGCCAATGAGCGTTAAATTCGCTCGGCGTGAACAGTGCAAACATGTGCGTATAAAAGTTAAATTAAACGAGAGGAATGTTATTTGCGAATGCATATAATTGGGAATTTGATCCATCTTATTTTATTATGTTTACAAATACGCACATCAATTAGAAATGTCTCCCAGTTCCCCCTTGCCTGCTCCTGAATTGGCCGCTGAAAAAATACATGTACGTACATGAACATGTGCATTTACACCTTTTATATGACACGTAAACGTTGTGATACCGCTGTTTTAGCCACTGAAGAATAAAACACAACTGTGTTGTTTTATGTCGTAAATATATGGAAAGGATAGCCTACTTTGTCACTTGGTAACTGGCGTATTGGAGGAGGGGGGAGGATGTTGGTTATTTATTTTTATACGCACGGTCGAAAATGCATAGGCGAAGTGGGCCTGTAACCCCATGGTAACCTGAAGGCTTTGCCTCCTGCAAGTCAATATTTTTGTCAGTTTCCGTCAAGTGACGTTAAAATTCTGAACTTGGAGAACACTGATTATCTGTAAAAGTTTATTTTGGAACAGCAAGTTCAGGAAATTTTATTTGATGACAATTTTTGATATTCATATCTGCAGGATAATCACAGTTGGGGACAACCAGCTCAAACTTAAGCGACGTGCAGTGGTTGGTGGGACAGTAAAAGTTGCAGGCGTACGTCTATTCCTTCCGCCATTATGCATGTAAAAGTCATTAACGCGAGAAACATTTCGTAACCCCAACATTCGATTAGTTTGGACAAGTTCGTAAGAGTACGTCACTTCAGTTTAAACCACGCCCACTGCACATGCACTGCACATAGCTATGGAGCTACATGCATTGGTCGTGGAACCGGAAGTTAACGCGAACCTTCAGCGATTGTCCAACGGGAGCCTGCAAATCGTGGCCCGTTCGCCTTTGCGACGAAGTGACTTACGAACCGGATCCGGTCGCTTTTAATATACTGATAGAGTGATAGAGATACCAGCGTTTGTGCAGATTTGAGCTTCTTAGAAAGTTTGTGTGAAATTTGCTTAATTTTCAGGGTACAATACTCAACGAGGAGGTCATCCCTGGTCTCATGCAAGGTCACGAAAGTGGGTGGGTAACGCTTGTCAACACATAAGTAACTCGCCTGCGGGCCCATTAGGCCTAGGCTACTGTTTCCCAGCAGAGAGCAGGAGTTTTGAAACTCCGTTTCCGCAGCTCTCTCTCTTCTGTGTTGGGGGAAACAGAACATATTTTCTGTGCCTTTTTTTCCACACTTATCAGTTACTTTTTTGGTTCTTTGATACTTATTTACTGCAACCGTGACGGATGGCAAAGAATCCTTGTCTGTAACGCTTTTCTTTGAGCCATGCATGATCAGAGTATGATATAGGCGGATTTCAGTTTTGGTTTTTTGGGGTGAAATTCCATGCCTAACCGACACTTCTTAATTTTGTTCCTTAAGGAGTTTCATTATATAGGATTTGAATGTTCTCCACATCAAGTTCTTTTCAACTTCTTCCTGGTTGGATAGATCGATTTCAGTTGAACTCATCGTGACGTACGCAATAGTTATCGTGTACGTACACAATAGTTATCATGTACATGTACGTACACAATAGTTATCATGTACGTACACAATAAGGGTAAGACTTTTTTTATTATCGTGGCGGAAATACGCCTCCGTACTTCCGTACCCAGCTACGTTTTTTCGCAAACTTTTTCTGCAGCGCGTGCGCAGTTGTGACAGTGACCGCCTCTCGCTCGTTTGAGTGACACAGCATGCTGTGCCATTCAATTCACTGCGCACGCCGTACACACACGTGTAGCATGCACGGTGACCCTACGGCACATGTACCGTTGAAATAGAAATGACATAAGGTAAACCACCTGCAGAGCGTTTTTATGGTCGAAGTGCTTGAACTGAATGACGATGTAATTTTCTTTATGATTTCTCCCAGTGAAAAGTGAGTCATCTCCACTGTTTTGAAACCTTGAAGGTTGGTAAGGCTACTGTCATGACTGTTTCTTTACTTGGCTCCTAGACCGTCAATTATTTTCTATCGTCCATTCGTGCCTCCATTGTGAAACTTTCCATCCTCATGATGTAAACATGCGATATGATGATTAACATTGCATGCAATGTGTAGTACCATACAGCTCCAGTGGCGTAGCTTTGAGGGGGACACAAAAGGGGCACCAGCATCTTATGGGGGAGCAGTAGCTTTCAGTGGTGTGGTTTTTTTGGGAGCAAGTTTTGTTATCCTTTTCTATTCATCCGTTTTTATTAGCGGGGGGAGGGGCACCTGCAAGGAGCATCGGGAACTTGTGGGGGCACGTGCCCCCAGGCCCCCGTGGCTACAGCATATGCCACTGATAGTGTACTGTGCTTTGTATTGTGGCCAGGTCGCTTGTGTGTTCAGTACTCGTCTGTTCTTCTACCGTGAAAATAAAGATTTCCCACCATCCACCTGGCACATTTTACCACACATTCACATTTTGAAAGAGTGCTTACACGAACAACCCCTTTTCAACCAACACCCAGTGACCCAGTGAAGACCAGCTGAGTGAAAAGTGAAAAAGCTTACAGCCCCACATTTTATGGAAGGGTTCGTAGTGGTCATTATATTCCTTAAAAATCTTTAAATTTTATCGTCATGAAATTCCTGGAAAAGTTATTAAATGTTTGTAGAAAAATCATTAAAAGTCATTAAGTTCTCATCTTCTACATCTTGTATTTTATAACTTCGTTTTTCAAGACATGATTCAGTATTTCGTGTTTAGCACGCCAATCTGTGAATCACAGACAGTTGTCACTGTTACGTCAAATCCCTGCGATGTCACGCAGAGAAGAATTGCTCATAATGATAATGGAAGTCATTAAAATGTCTTTGAAAATGTACCCTAAAAGTCATTAAAGTCTTTAGATTTTTTGGGTCTTGACACTGTGAACCCTCTATGGCCTGTAAACTCTGAACCCTTGAGTACCTAGCGAGATGTGTATAACAAGTAATCCAGGCTGCCAGAGATTTTTCAGTTCGATTCAAGCCAATGAAGTTGTAATAGACCATATTTGCGGCGTCCCCAATTTCAGTCGTTTTCCCCAATGCAGTGTATTTATTTGAAAACGTTAAATTCAAAGAACCCAACTATATTCTATGATTTCATTCTAACCCCCAATATCACCTGGTACCATCCCATTAAGAATTTCAAAATTTTACTCTATGCTCAGGAATACGACTGAAATTGGCGACTCCACGAATACGGTGTATTTCAATCAACTTTTAGGGATTCAACACATGAATGATATGAATAATTCATCCCAAATTCAATTAATAATTATCATTAAAGTGTCCAACTCTAGATGAAGCAAAGGTAAATTTAGGTTGTTAACCAGGAAGAACATAATGAATGAAAATTCCATCAACCACTGGCCCCTCCCTTTCCACCTGTGTCTCCTTGTTAATGTGAAAGTCCATTGAACTAGATTCTACTTTTGACAAAACATGGAGCAGGAGGTTGAAGGAACCCCTTGCATGTACTGGGATTCAGAAAATATCTTTGAAGCTGAAGTTAGTGTAATCAAATTGCTTATTGCTTATTTATTATCTTCATCAACTTGTTTAATTTCAGTCTAATTTAAATTTCAGTTTGTTTAATTTTTAACAAATAAATAAATAAATAAAAGTTTAAATAAATATGCTGACAAATATATTAGCTTTCTCTTGAAGATTGTCCCAGACCCCTGGATATGCTAACTTGGCTTCTCTCGAACTACTGGCTACATCTGCCTGGACACAATTTAACACGGACTCCACTTGAGCCCATATGGCTACTGTGTAGACTCAGTGCCGGGCTGTTGACCAGTGGTCTGCTAGGTGGTGGTGCAGACTGAATTCTGACCCTGGCATAGGCCCTTAAATGCCTGCTATAGTCTCTTGATGGACATTTCCATCAAGACTGTGATTGGTCACTTGCAAGTTTGACCAAACCTTCCTCAAAGTTTGATTTGCATATAAGCTTCCCCATTGGTCAAACCTTTGAAGGTTCATTGTGTACATGTAACTCTGCTAATCAGCAGGATCAGCAGATTTTCTCCCAGGTTCCAACAACCTGCAACCTCCAGTTTCATGAATCTCCCAAACAATGAAAACTGACATTCTGTTTCTAAAAATACTTGGTCAGGACTGTGGGAAAGTTCCCCTAAAACAATGGACTGGATTAGTAAGTGAGGTAAACATCATGACCTCCACCATTGCATACTACAGATACATGTAGTTCCATTGGGGTTGCATAAGGTTGGAAAATATCCTGGGAACGAGGGGAACAGAATAAGAAATGCAAGATAACCCACACAAAATATAAATTTTTACATTTCCTGACATAAAAGATCACACTCTTGATCAGAGATTTGACATTAACATTAGGTCTTACAAACTCATGCGTTCACAATTGAAGCGTGTCAACAGTCACAACTCACATAGTTTGTAACTGTACAAGTCAAGCATTTGAAATTGAAAGTTCAACCATTGTAAAATTTGTCCAAAGCCTAGCAAAGCCAAGGCACATGGTGGTCTTAGACTCAATCACTTGTACACCTACTCTAGTGAATAGACTTGAACATTGATTGAGAAATAAATATGAATTTGGAATTTCAAACTTCACAACTGAAAGCATTTATTTCAAATACTATTTTGTTTTTTAAATGGCATCCAACTTTGACGGATATTCTAGGTATATCTGATGTCTTAAAAACAATTTCAGGTTTTGTTTTTCCAAATGGCATATAAAATTCTAGTATTATGACACTATAAAGACTTGGAAACATGTATGTCAGTCCACTTTTTTCACATCTGAAATCCATTTTCTGTCATGCCTAAAATATAAACAGGGTTTTGAGTATTATGTTTTTGTTCATGTTTTTATCTTCAGGGACATCGGATTGTTAGTTACTAAGCTGTATTCTGTTTTGATGAAGATGAGCTGACGAGCAAATCATGAATTTGCTTCATGTAGAAAGTGCAGTGGTAGGCCTACTGCTGTACGTAACTTCATTTGTAAGTATTTCTGCAGTGGTCCTGCTAGTCACAACCTGACCTAAGAAGGCATCGATGTACATTGTATTATTAAGTGAATCAATCCAGTACATGCTTTCTGTAATGAATTGTTAGCATCTATTCTCCTGATCTGGTCTTAAGCAAACAGACCAGACCAGCAGAGTGACATTGATAGTTGCCTATAAAGATGAAGGTGAGAGACATGAAAACTTTTTAAACCAGAAAGTTAAAACAACTAAAAAAAAGAACTTTCCAGCAGTTTTGTTAAACAATGGTACTTCTTTTTTTTTTTTTTCAAACACTCCCGTAGCCATTATGGTCCTGAATGTTGTGCCTCTTAGGAGTAATCGTAAACAATTTCTATGAAGATTGGCACCCACATGCTATGTACTGCGTGAGGCGGCACAAAATGCAAATATGACACACTCAAAATACAGACTCATAATACGTGTATTGGGCTTTAAAAACGAGTTTAAATTTCATGTGACACCAGAAAATTGTTTAAAAGCAGCCAGCTGGTGCTTTATCAACTGCATAAGACCAGACTCCAGAGGGGCTCTCAGCCAACTGGCTAATCTATGTTAGGTATTCGTGAATATTGATTATTGTTTAAGAGCATGTTGCAGTAACAAGCCCAATTTCGTAGAGCTGCTGTCTCTTGCTTGGTGAAAATTGGCAGAGCCAATAAACCTGACTGAGTGACAGTTGAGCTGGAAACTTACTTGTACATAGCCTTGGTCAAGGCATTCGTTTTTAGGCACACTGCACTAGCTAGCTATCTGTTGTCATCGTTGTTTTTCATATGCAGTGGAAAAATCAAGGCAGACTGCAACCTCATGTGGCCAGTGTGATATGCAAATTAAAAGAACCAGGACAAGTCCTGGTTGAATAATTGTAGTTGAGCAGTTTTATGTAAATATCCATGTCCTGATGTCATACTTTATTTGTGTGTGTGTTGCCAGATATTCAGTGGACAGCAGGCAATTAAGAGCCCCCACTGGCTCCATAGAAAATTATCAGTGCAGAGACCTACAATATTGGTATACTTTAGCCATGGCCATTGCAAGGCTGCTAGGAGGTGCTTGCCCCTCCATCCAGGAAAAAAACTAAAAATAGAAAAAAATTGAAAAAAAAAGGAGAAAAAAGGAAATAGAATACAGTTGAAAAGAGTTGAACATCAACAACTTGCTTTGAACAACCCTCAAAAGTAACCTCCTTCCATCATTCTTAGTTTATCAGTTCATTGCTTATCAGAACGTTACGCCTTCTCTTCCCAACCCCCACAACAAAATTTGCCCCTGGAAAAGTACTTACCCCCCTCTCAAAAAAGAAAAAATCAGGGTGATTGAGGCCCTTGACTTACATGTAAGATATCTGATTGTAGTTGACCTTTAGCCAACTTACAACGGTGGCAGACTGCATTCTAGAGTCACACCAAACTAAATACACCCATAGAGTTAAGAGCGACTCAGGTCAACCCAATTAAATTTTGCTTACAGACAGACGAACTTATTACATACATTTGCATTGGGTTCTGCCCACGAATAGAATGATGTCTGAAACCAAGGTGCACTGATGTCATTCCAAGTGCCTCCAAGTGTCAATCTTTTGCCTGCTAGTATGCCTGTTTGCGCCTAATTGTTTCAGACGTCAAACTTTTGCCACACTTAATTCAAAACTTGCTTTTCATGTGGTCCAGCCTGACTGTGGAGTGCCTATCTGAAATGGGGGGTAACGAAATATTGAACTTAGCCCTAAGTTGCAAAGAGTCATTTAGAGTAATGTTTGTGAATTCAACTTTCAGGGTTACAGACCAACACATTTACTCCTGTTGGGTTTATTTAACATGATATTTAAGCATATCATTAGTCACCTTACACTTTGTCCAAAAATACATACACATGTCAAGGATATCTGTATTTGCAGTACAACTCAGTGAATCAATCTACTATTCTCTATTGCTGCAGGACTGTTCTAGGGCTGTGTTGATTATTCAAAAATTTGTAGACTCGATCAATTATCGAATATTTGAATAGTTATTTTTTAAATCAAATAGTTGAAGGTGAAAATCAGCAAACTAAAGGGGGGAATTGAACTAGTTGATTACCAGAAATATGCATTCTAAAATCGTATTTCAAGCTGTTCAGAGTAAACCTAAAGGGTCCATCCAGTGCAGTTATTTCACTACAGTCCTTGAAATTGCAATTTTCTGTGTCTGTGAACTGTTTTGGATTTCCTGTGAGATGTAATATGTTTATGTGTTCACTCAGGTTGGGGTTGATGGACCTCCCACTGGGTTGGCGTTGCAAGCAAATGATATACACCCACAAGATGTTTGCAGTGCCTATGATGAGTACCGTGATGAAGACTCAGGAGAGTGTGAAATATGCATTAAGTGTAATCCAGGATTTGGGTCAACTGCTGTAAGTGTCATTAACCAACCTGCATGTTCTTTCATTCCATTAAAAACAGAACAAATCAGGCGGGTTGAAAATGTGATTTCACACTTATTACTGCAAACCAAGCATAGAGTTAGTGCCAATGGCGTAGCTACGGTGGGGCCTGGGGGGAGGGGGGCATGTGCCCCCGCCCACAATTACCAGTGCTGCCCAGGTGGCCCCCCCCCCCAAAAAAACGGAGGAATGGATATTGAACAAGGCTAACAAAAAATTGCCCCCAAAAAACCACACCACTGAAAGCTGGTTCCCCCCATAAGATACTGGTGCCCCATATGCCCCCACTAGTAAAATACTAGCTACGCCACTGGTTAGTGCCACCCGGAGATGAGTGTGATCGATTTTCAACCTTTATTGGTCTGGAGCAGGGTTGAGTTCAACCCAAGTTGAAGTCAATCTTGGGGGTTGGCGCGGAGTAGAAAATATTCAAAGTGTAAATCCTTGCCAAGTTTGAACCCTTCAAAAAACCCGGAGATTTGTCTAATATTAAAAGGCCTTTGCAGCACTGAGCTGGGGTTGTGTAATGTTTTATCTTACAGATCGAGTGTGGTTATGGCCGTGTAGCCAGGAAGGGCAAGTGTGAGCCTTGTCAACCAGGCTCAACTTACCAGGCTAATGTGGCCTCCACAGAGTCCTGCCAGCCCTGTAGACTCTGCGATGAAAATGCTGTAGTCGTGTCTCTGTGCAACGTGACCCATAACACAGTCTGTGGTTCCTGCAAACCTGGGTAGGAAGGATCGACGTCTACTAATTTGTGTCATTTTTAGCTTGGATTTACAATCCGCGCTAAGTTGAACTGCACCCTCTCCAGCAAAAAAAGGGCAGGCTGGTGAGAAGTTTTCCAAATGGGTTCCTGCATGCATTTACCACACACACGAAGACCATTCGTTCCAGCATAAATGTTTTGCACGTACTCAGCGTGTCCCATGCTACATGCTACTTTTATCTTAAAATTCTATCTGTAAATACTGTGATAGAATGTTTTTTTCTTTTTTTAATGTAAATACTGGTTTTATTAACCTTGAATTAGTTAGTCATGTGTGGTTCTGGCTCTGTTAGAGATAGACATATTCACTCAGTTAAAGCTTGACAAAAGTGCTTGTGTTACAACTTAATATTATCGTTGTCTTCCATGCTCATGGACTTAATTTATTTTAGACCGAACCCACCACAATATTACTTCACCTTGCATCAGGGACACAAAGCCAATTAATATCCCTGAGTACTTCCGAATCCCACTGCTGCATTAGATTCGAGCCAGTCACCTAATCCCATCAAACTTGGCGAGAGAGTAATTAAGATGTCTGTTCTAGTGAGCAGGAAGATGTAGGTTCGAATCCCACCCGAGCAAGTTTTTAATTTTTTCGCCACTCTCAGATCAGACCAACGATACAGTGTGAATGTACGTACATTAATACAGATATATGGGTGCAACCTAAGATAAAAAGTTCTTGCATCCCTTCCACAATGATATCTGGCAGGCATGTCTAAGTGTGATTTATGGCTGTGTGTGGTTTACAGGTATGGTAGTGATCCAAATCATAAAGGTAGTTGTAGTCGCTGCACTCTATTCAATGACGATGACAGACCAGAGGAATGTCAGACATTTCCAGTACCAACTGAACCACCTACAACCTCCCCATCACCGCCTTTACAGCCACCGACTACAGAAGTACATCCCACCACAGTGGATATTCCCCTGGTAACCACGGTCGAAAGCCCCACCACGTCGACTCCACTAGATCCTGGTAAAACTTCAGTTTATGGTGCCATACTGTTTGGATGTTTTAGTCTCATCCTAAAGCTGGTTCACACAAAAGCGAACACAAACAAAATACCAAATCAAGTATTTGTGCTGTGATTTGAAAAAAAAAATTGAGCAAATTTCAACTCGAGAGAATTTTGCTGCAAATGTGTCATAATGTGTAATTCATTTCACTTTCTGATTTGCCTGAAGTATGAATCAGCCTTAACCCATAAACTTTGTATAACCAATGACTTAGCAACAAAAGACATTAACCCCTATAAGAGATGTCTTAACCTTTCCTAAACCTGGAACCCGGTGGATTGAATAACTTTGCAAAGTTGGCGTTTTTTTGTTTCTTAAAATCAAACAGTTGAAGATGATACAATTGCTCACTCCTTTACTCCCTCTTACAAAAAGTGAAGGGGGGACATAAAAAAATGACATAACCCCCCTTCCCCATCTGCTGGAATTTGTGCCCGTGTGGAATGCAATACATGTCTTCGCTTTGCTTTAACATTTATCATTTTTTAGTGTGATATACAGTGTACATGCATACATCTACATGCATGTCCTTGTATTTTGTTTTCACATATACCATAGGAAAGGGCAGATCATCAGTGGAAGCTTGGAAAATTGCCGTGCCAGTATCATTTTCAGCTTTCATCATCTTGCTGGTGGTATGTTTTCTTTGGTGGAGAAAAGGCTCAAAGAGGCAGCACACAGGTAAACGTGGAACAAAGTATCAGGAATTTCGGAAACAGAGAAATTTACATGTACATGTATACATTGGCAATGAAGCAGTGAGTTCAGGTCACCAATTGTTGAAACATTTCTCTCTTGCTCCAGAAGGGCAGAACAGCACTGACCGTGAGGAAGGAACAGCTGCAGCTGCAGAAATGACCAGCCTGACAACCTCTCCCAGTGATGGAGATCCATCACCGGCCACTCCACCTTCTGCCACACCTAACGGAGGCTTGTCTGATCAAGAACTTCAATTAGGATCAACAGCTGAAATTCACCCCAATGGAAGTCCCCCAGTCCAGCAGGTGCCCCCTCCAAATGTGCCTCCAGTTGAAGTCAACGAAAATGGTCAGGAAACCAGAGGTGTCTCATCTTTTAAAGGACAGATGAACATATGAAAATGAGTTATGCAACATTACATGTTCTTTTTAAATATGTTTTAATTTAAAAACAATTTTTCTTGTTTTTTTTAATCCAGAGAATGGAACAGCTCTTCCTGGTGAGAATGTGGATGATACAGAACCTGATAGTCACTCTGGTGAATGTACTCCAAACCAGGCATGCTCACCAGGCCTGGTCCAAGATGATAACGAAAGCCTGGAAAATTCCGTCCACACTTCTGCAGGCTGTGATTATGCTGACAGCAGGGGTTCCACCAAGGAACATGCTCCCAGAGTAGTCTCTTCTCATCTTCTGCCTTCTATTCCAGAGAAGATGAATGGCATGAAGAGGTATTTTCACTCCGAGGTTAAAATTAACTTAATTACAAGAGACCTCTTTATGGCACTTAGAGTGTACTTGTAATTGTATTCGTAAGCCTTAACGTTTCAAGGCCATAGGAGTTCTTTAGCACCCTTTTATTGTTTAAGCAAAATCAAACACTTGTTAAATGCCTCAAGAAGTAACCTGCAGGTTTTCCTGGCCAATCTTAATTTGCCACCATTTCATTTGATATTCCAATTATTCAGTTTCACATTGAATTACGTGTGCTGTCAAAGTGATTTTTAATTTTATAGGATATGCAGTGTATGCAATGGAAAGTTAAAACGGAAATGGGTAAAAATGTGAAGGTATTCATGTTTCCATTTGGCGATTTGCACACTACTTTTCTTCGTATGAATTTGCAGCAAATGGGATGTGAAAAGGGCAAAAGCAGTGTGAAAAACCTGTAAAACTGTACGAAACTTTTACGAACGTGGCATGAGGCACTGACGACAAATGTGTGTAAATTTTGTTTAAAAACATGGTGCAAAAGGTACCAAAATGATGGGAAAACATTGCAAAAATAACGCAAACTCGGAAAAGTGTTGCAACTTAGAACAAAATGTAACATTTGGAACACAAAATCTTGGTATGATGCAGGGTTTCAATGGTTGTGGACAATTCTTAAAAGTCATTAAATTTGAATTTCCATGTCCAGGCCCCGAAAAGTCCTGGAAATGTTTCAAAAATTAACAAAACTTATGTAAAATTCCGTAAAATTTTAAAATTTTAAATTTTAGACTCTGAAAACTAAAAAAATCTGGATGCATCCTGAGTGGATTTTTGTCCATAGAATCCATACAGAGACATGAATATTCATTACGCTATAGAACATCAACATTCATGAGCCAACAGCAAAATTTGTGAAGCATGTATGTATGGCTATTAACCACTCCCTGCCAGGTGACCCGTTTTCGAGTACATAGGCTTTATATGCAGAGCCAGGGAGCCTGGAACTGGGACAAAAGAGTTGGGCCTTATAACAAAAGACCGTGCTCAGCACAAAAGGCTGAGCTGCTAGGCATTACCAACACTTTTTCGCTCTCAATAGTGGAGATAATCCAGCCCTGTTTTGAAACAGTATACTACGGTTTGAGGCATTTAGAGTGAGCGGATTACCACTGGGGACAAAAGCGCTCCACCACCCCAGCGATGAGCCACACAGTACCGCTGCACACCCCCTATTGAAAAGAGGTCAGCAGTGCACTGTGCCGGTTTCGGGAACAAAAGAATCTTACGTAATACTGCACAATGTGGGTTCTTTTTCCAAGGCTGCAGGCTTGGCTGAAATATTTAGGAGTCAGCTTTAGAGTAGTGCCCAAAGAGTCCTTCATTTTGGTATAAACGGCCATTAAATGAAATGATGAATTTTTGAAGAATTTTGAAAACGGAAAAATCTTGAAAATGACCCGGCATTTTGTCTTGCTGCAGAAAAATCCACCCGGAAGTGGTTAAGCCAATAAGAAACTTTGTTATGCACTAAGCACTCCAATTGGTATTCAAATGTGTCACCAAGTTGAATGTAAATCACATTAGGTGCAGGACACTTTCAAGGGATCATTTCTGCCGAGTCACTAATATGAAAAGTGCCCCAGTTTCTTTTGAAAAAGAAAATTGTTTGGCCCTCAAAAATGGCAGGATTGTGTAAGTGTTACCTGGAGCCAACACCAATTTTGTTGAATTATTGTCCCAAGTGCTCGAAAAATAAAAAAATGTCATTTGAAAAATGGCTGTAAGCAGGCTTGGCAATTATCACTTTTTGTTGGGGGTTTCGGTGGGATGATAAAAATATAATTGCATTACCCACCAAAAATTGGAAAAAAACAAAAAGATTAAGAACAAGACAGTAATCTTAATTGTGTTTGAGAAACTCAAGTAATGTTGGCTTGCATGTTACTGAGCCCAGCACATTATGGAGTTTAGATTGTTTTCAGTGAGGTTTGAATAAGTACACTGCACCCCTAGGACACAAATGCATGTTCAGTGCTCTTATGTTACACTGGTTCACACTGCTAAATCTGAAGAACTATAATTGTTTGGGTGCGAGCCAATCTAAGCACTGAATCCAATGGGTGCACTGTGCAGTGGTACCTAGCTTTGATTTGGCCATTTGCCTTGTATTTTGACCAAAAGTGAAACAGAAACTGCCTTCAAACTTGAATGATGTCTTCTAGCAGCTTCCTTCAAATTCCAGCAAAGATTGTACTTTTGTCTGAGATTGATGATCCTCTGCTTTCCATATTGGGAGGTGAACATGTTTTAAAGTCTCGTGAAAGCACAGGGAACATATCACGTCCAGCACAGAGAACAAATGACTTCAAAGGTCATGCTATTTAGCATCAACGAGCATCAACAATTCTTTTTAGGTGAGAGTGAATCACATGACAAGGGCGGATCCAGACATTTTTCCAGTGGGGGTCAGGCCGAAGATTTCTTTTAATGTCTTATATTTGCAGACAAGCAGACAAGATCAACCATTATACATGACTTACATTGCTTACACTGCAGAGGTATTGGTACACTTACTTCAGTTATTTTTTATTATTTTCCTCTTTTTTATCTTTTTTCTTCTTGTCTCAGAGCAGGAGGAGGGGGGTTGATCCCCAAACCCCACCCCCCTAGATCAGTGAAGCACCACCTGGCTGATAACACTTCCATTGTCACAAGAACTTTAAACTCCAGCCCCTTTTCCCTCATGTTGGTTGACTGTCCACTATCTGCACTTGTTTTCACAGCTCTGCCAATGAGTCCACATTTTGAGAGTCCAGAATTCACACTCTGCTGGCTCATCACATTCCCCATTGCCCATATGCATTAATAGTAAAATTCCTTTGAATCCAATTTCAAGGCTGAAATTACTGTGTGCTTAACTGTCATAGTAACTGTGGGACTCTCAAACTGAAGCACGTAAATCAAGTATAAGGAAATCTATGTTTTAAGCGCATTTATTAAACATTCTTTGGGAAAAGATCAATTTAGATGGATAAGAACATGAAATTCTTAGCACGTAATCCGTTACATTTTTGGAATTTAGATATGATTGTAGACACTTTTTATGAGGTTTATGAAAAATGCAAAAGGAAATGAAGGGTGTGATTCACAGGAAAAACCCTGGAGACAAATGAACGAAAAATATTTTTAAAAGTAAATCATGAATTAGTGTTATTCCGGTCCGTTTAACCATTAGTAACAACTGAAATTTAGCTACTAGTGTTTGTACTTTTTTGCTTAAATGAATTTGAAACTGTGTGTCTTTTATAAGCACTTCCTGCAAATTTTTTTCTGTCTGGTTGGATCGACGACAGAAATAGAATGCCAATCAAATTGGAGGAGACAACCAAACTGTCTTAATCCAAAGTTATCAAACAAGTTTCTAATCTACCGATTTATGTGAAACCAGAGTTTAACAGACTGTCATTTCTCTGAAAATAAGTAAATCATGAAGGTAAAAATATAAAGCAGTCACATAAGTTGATCCAAGTACATTTCCTTTACAGCTATGCACTTGTGTTTCTTCCTCTTTAGTTCTGCTGATAAAAAATTCAAACACGTGAAGAAGTGTGCAGCTAAGACCCGCCAGCGTAGCTTGTCAGACCAAGGGAGAATGAAAAGTCCCCCATCCAGTCCAGAAATACTGAATAATGGTGCTGATCAACCCATGCTTGACACAGCTGTTCGAGAAAATATCAACAACGTAAATATACAATTGATTTGGAGCAGATAGTCATTTGCAACTAGATATTTTTTTAGCCATTATTATTTTTTTTTGTGCCAAATGGCCTCATTCTCAAGTCGGCTATCTTGAATCAAAAGCAAGGCCGTGCCTGTGAAAATTTTCTGAAAAGATAATCAGTGAGAATGAAGACATTGCATCAGGGGTAAATTATGGCTAACCATCCTTGTGCTTCCATGGCACTTTGAAATTATGAATAAAAGGTCATGCCATCTTTATTGTTCAAGTGGAAAATTTCTTCAAAGTGAGGGTGTACCCATGATTATATGTTTGACAGAATAGGTTCAGTCTCATTTCATTGTGTTCACTGAACATAGTGAAGGACAAACTTTTTAAAGAAAGCCTATTCCAACACCCTGCTGTATTAAAACAATTCTGATTGGCTTGGACATTGTTTACTTTAAAAATATGATGAAATATATTATTCTATGTGGTCAAAAACTCAAATTCCCAACACTTGCCCATTGTTTCAAACAGTTGTGTAAATTGTGAGATCGTTGAGGTTGGTTTTATTTTAGTACTTTCTTGATGCCCCACCATTCCTTCATTCAGTTGAAGGTCCAATCCATTGTAAAAATATTTTGATGTGCAGTCAAACCCCACAGTATCTGAAATGTAAATAATATTTGTTAATATTATAGACCTACAAAATGTGCAAAAATCATTTGATCGGAAATTAAATTTAAGATTTTGAGGATTGATCTACAACTTCCAGACAAATAGATATAATTGATATCTCTTCTCAGAAGCTAAACAAATCGACAAGAATTAGTCCTCACACCTTTTTAAAACATTTTTTACCTTTATACTTAGAATGCATTGGTCTTGAATGACGTTACCAAAACAAACAGGCAACATGCTACCTGTTCTCAATACAGTAGGGCTCTAGGAATAGCATTCACTAAGAGTGATTTATTAATGGCCTATACTCATACCGTACAATAGGCAAACAATGGCCAAATAATTAATATCCTTCCATAACACCACCAAGAAGTAGCACCGCACCTGAAACTTTCAAGGCTGTATCCAGAAAACTGTTAAAAGATATGCTGAAACTTCAGTTTCATTTTTTTGGTGTGTTTAGATTTTTTCAGGCAAATCTGACTTGGGTCAGGAAAGTACCCAGATTTTGCAAGATACGGCATAAAATGTGGTATGATGTTTGGGGACAAATATGCGCTGCATGGACATTATGTTATTGATCATGCATCGCTATATTGAAACCTATCAATAAAAAGCACAAACTCACAAATAGTTAAAGAAGAGTTACATCTCATTCATTGATATTGATTGGTTTGTATTAAATGCAAACATTATTTAACAAATTTTGATATGTTTTGATATTTATTTGAGGAAAATACATATTTTTTTGTGATTTTTTTCTGTTGCAGAAGAAGAAGAAGAAAGAAGAGAAGGATTATCAGATGAACTTGAGTAAAGCCTGTAGTATTGGAAGCTGTAAGATTATCTTCTTTTTGGCGCATCTTTCTTATTTTATGTGGAAATCCTGGACAATTTAAAAGAAGTTAGAAGAAACTTCAGGACTAAAGGAGTTGTTTTAGGGAAAAGATGCAAAGTGTTGCAGGGCTTAAAAAACTTTCAGGTTCAATTGTGACAAAGTGAAATTAAAGGGATGATTCCAAATGGAAATTATGTTAACTAAGCAGTACAGCATAATGATCCATACCTCACTGTTTTACATGATGTTTGTGTACATATTTATTGTATATTATCAATATATTTGTGTGTATTTATTAAGAAACACAAATCAGTAAATGCGTGTACTCTTTTTGCTTATCAAATTGAAACTGATTGTAAATGGGCCTACAAGACTTTGCATTGCATTGGCCAATCACAATACGCAAAATTTGTGGACCCAATGCACGTTTGGAAAGGGTTGACAAATTTTGCGCAATGTGATTGGCCAATGTGTTGTAAACTCTTGGCGGTGCACTGTTGTGAATCGCCCGTATTGAATCCTGCTTGTAAGCACACTGAGCAAGGAAATAGTATGTGTGAGTATTGACCTGTCTTCCCTGTGCATCAGTGACAGCACCTCATTTCTTGGTCAAAATTTAAACTGCCATTTTCACTTGTTTTACACAGTTTGCTTTGTTTTTGTGATATTTTTATTGCTTTTCAAAAATTTTCTCCCGCAGGGTTACACTGGGTTGATCTAAGCTCTCAATGCAGGAAAACAGTTCTGCAGATGCTGACCCCTGGTGGTGCCTGCCCATCAATTTCCACATACAAGGAACTAGGTGAAGCACTAGGACTTAGACGCGACACAGAACTGAGGACATGCAAAGACATCAACAATGTTTTTGACACCCTTGCTACTCGGCAAGAGGTAACTCTTGAAGATATACTTCTATGTGCAGATAAAATTGAAAGGAAAGATGTTGTGAAGGTGATCTGCAAGGAAGTCCTCCAAAAACCATAATGCAGTTGTGATTATCCAAAATAATGAAAAGGTTAGATGGAATAACAAAAGGTTGACACACACAATCCTCATAATTAGAATCCTATACAATACATTACAGAGCTGCCTTAAAGCATAGAAACTGCCTGTGTGCCTTATTCAAACTGTGTACACACTACACTGATGCTTGGTTTCATCAATCTTTGACTGTTGTTATGTATTGGCCTTCATATAACTTTTCAAAACAGTCAATAACGTATAAAATTCCTGTACAATTTGCATGTCCATCACAATTCATCCATTCTCATGGCACAAGCTAGTCAAATAAACTGTGACAGAAACATTCCTCTGTCATTGTTCATCCTGGCCCTTGTGACTGGTCTGAATAGGGATTGTTGAATGGACTTGTGGGAGGACTATGGCATGGAAGATGGACTGGCTTCAACACTGATGAAGTGGTTGAATTATACAACTTGGTTTGTAGATTTCCTGAAATGTAATATGTATCAATTTACCAATGTATTTGCTAAAACAAAATTTGAGAGGAGAATTGATGTGATTAGTTTTGCTTTTGTTTTGAGGTGTACTTAAAATATCAGCATAATCAGTGTACCAGTTACTGCAATACATGTAGTTCTCAGTTATGCAATGTGGTAATGCTTGTATGCTGATACAAAAAAGCCAAAGTAAAATGGTGCAAGTTGGCGTTGGGACCAGTTACTTCATTGATTTTGAGATGAATCAGTTTTGTTTTGTACTTACTCTGCTTCTCTTGTCCTTTTCTGTTTTCTACTTTTCTATCAATTTCTGTGTACTTACAGCTAACTTTTTTACCTGTAAATGTGTGTGTGCTGGATTGTACTTTTTGCTGTTTTCCCAAGGGCAGACCCTTTTGGTCAGGGTCATCATTTGGAAGAGAGCATGTTCAGGATGTTCAAAAAAGTGGAAAGGGAAAGTAGACATAATCTGAAGGGGTCAAAGACAAGTGATTCACACTAAATGACGAAATAGTTTGTACATACAAACAGTACTATTTTTTATTCCTGTTTAGTTTTGTCTTCTTTTTCTTAGTTTGAGCAAATCGTTCCCACCAATGATTTGGGAAAATGCTCACTGCCAAGAATAAAAGTATGAACAAACTAGAGGAACGTGGTTATGAACAACCACTGAGCTGTTTCGGAACTTTCTGTTTGGTGATGACGTCATCATGACGTCATAACTTTAGGAAAATTCTTTCATGAGGGTCTTTGTTGCATGTAACTTTGATGTTGATCAAACCTCTGATAATTGCCCAAATGGTGGCTTGAAAATGTGTACAAAGTCAATGGGCTGAAATAAATATTGAAAAATCACTAGTAAATCACATGATGACGTCATTTCTTTTGAAGAATTCTTGCTCAAGGGTCTTTGTTTGATATCACTTCCATAGCGATCAGACATCGCGAAGGTTTCCAAATAGTGGCTTGAAAATGTGTACAAGTAAATGGACTGAAAACACCTATGCAAAAAAGCTGTTCCTTTATGATGTTGTGTGATTTGCGTTTAAACTGAAAGAAAATTCTCAATATTATGATATTCAGACCCTTGGGTATACATGTAATCACATGAAGGAAAAAAAAGTTTTTTTTCCATTCTCATAGTAATTGTTAGCCGAAGTGCAGGACTACCCTCATTAAGATTGATAATATTGCGTAGTAAACAAACGTGTACATAACCTATGGGGAAAACTGCAGCTTGAATCTCATGTTACGTGACCCCTGATGATGTTATTTTGACGATTTTTCTTTTGGAGCCTCTCTTTGCGAGGGACTTCAAGTGTACCTTTGAGGAAATAATTCAGATTGACCAAAGTGCCGAGGACAGGCTGGCGAAAACCGTGTACAAAGCCCATGGGGGGAGATTAAATATCCAAAAATTAATTAAAAAATAGGTGATGATGTCATCGTAACATCATAAATTTAGCAAATTCCTTCATCAGGGTCTTTGTTGTCTGTAACTTTGAAGTTGATCAAACTTCTCAAACCCAAATGCTGGCTTGAAAATGTGTACAAAGTCAATGAGCTGAAATAAACATTGAAATTTCAACACTAAATCACACGATGAGGTCATCATGACGTCATTTCTTCAGAATAATTCTTGCATGAGGGTCTTTGTTGGCTATCACTTTGAAAGCAATCAAACATTGCGAAGGTTTGAAAATAGTGGCTTGAAAACGTGTACGAAGTCAATGGGAAAAATTAAATATTCAAAATTCAAAAAGAAATCGCATTATGACATCATCATCACAAATTTCTTCTAGGACCATCCTTGGATGATTGTCCAAAGACCTGCCAAGTTTGAAGTCAACGAAAATTGCAAAAGAATAGAAGTCCTGCTCAGAACGAAAACCCATGTTATCAAATGGGATTTGATGTGGAAGAAGAAATAAAAAAAATTAAAAAAAATTAACAAAACCAATAGCTGTGTCGGCCGATGCCTGAAAGAGCTAACAAAAAAAACTAATTAACAAAAAGAACAGCTGTTTCGGCCGGTGCCTGAACCAGCTAAAAAGAAAAAAAAATATTTAACAAAAACAATAGCTGTTTCGGCCGGTGCCCGAAACAGCTAAAAAGTATGAATTTCATTGTCTGTGTGATTGTTCAGATGAAACTCTATCTTCTAGCACATTCAACAGTAAGATACGATTTTGCTACATCTCTTGTCTATGTTTGAGATTCACACAACATTAACAATACAGATTTCCAAACATCTTTGCCCACTTAATTTTTTTTCTACTCTATTTTTTTAGAAGTAAGTTTTGCTATTGATAACAAGGTTTTTCCCAACCCTAAAGGAATTTATATAATGGTTTACGTTGGACATGTTAGGTGTGCTTGCCATGTAGTTGTAGTTATGTTGGCATCTCAGCCCCTAGTTGTTACCAGGAACCTGTCTATCCAGATCAGGGCAAATTCATTTGGCAAACTACATAGTTCGACCACTAATCAGTGGCTTTTTAACAATGCGTGTTTGCAGTACAGTAACACTTGAGTGTCCCTAGTCAAATTGTTTTGTAACATCTCCTTATCACTGACATGTTGTCAGTGGTTGCAACTCTTGTTGCATATGTGGACAATGCCATCTCATACAGTATTTTCATGTGAATGGTCCCCTCCATATTGATCATGAAATTAGCTGTTGATGACCATGCATTGTCCAGGCGGTGTTAATGAAAGTGTAATTAAGTGACATATGCAGCAAGGTATGAGATGGAGAGACCCCACCCTGCTTTGTGTTGGTCATTGTCTCGCAGGAATCTGGGGAATTCCTTTCAGACATCTTGGGGGGGATGTGTTAAGTAACAATAGTCTGGGATATGTATAGGGATTGGACATGTTGGGGGGTAGCCCTCGGTCTCATTTCTTGCTGGGTATATTAACTGCAGTTGTCCCTTGAACTTGCAGTCAGTCCAACACTGTACAGTATGACACTGTGCTTGTATTTAGAGCTGCATAAATAACAATGGTGGATGTCTTCTGCATTCCCGAAACTGGTGGAATGACGGAAAAACAAGTGTTGGTTTGAGACATCAAGGGTTAATACGTGTACTTCATTACAAGGTGTGATGTTGCGTTTTGCACTGTACATTTTTAACCACACAGCTGGTTAGTGCAGCATTTTGTTTGTAAGCTTTTTTTGGGGAGGAGTGTTTTTGCTCTACTGCTCATATGATTTGAACTGTCCAGCCAGCCCTTGGCAAGCCCAAGGGTTGTGAATTTCGCCAAAAGCTCTTACTATCCTTGTGTACATATTTCAGTAGATAGAGTTAAAGAGTAGTCAATATTCAATATCAATCAATCAATAATCAATATTTGACTGAGAAATGTTATTTTGTAGAGTTGGTGTTACAGGGCAGTTCAAGTACTTTAATAGGGTTTAAAGACACATAGTACCTTAATTTTGGACCAGATGCACCAGTCCTTTGTCCTTCAATTTATAGTTTGAGTTATACAAAGAAATCAGCATTCCACTTCCAGTGTTTGATGTGGCAACACCGAATGTAGGAGAGGTTCATATTACTCCAGTGAAGAACAAACAAACTTTTGCATTTGGACCATTTGTTCTAGACTCTTGTGTGCAGTTTATTGTGCTTAAAAGCTCAACTAGGGTCCAGAACCGAATCACTTGGCAGCGGCTTAAAATAACGGGAACTGGCTGCAGCCACTACTATAGACTGGTGTGTCATTAATAGCCATAGCTAATTAGTAACTCGGACACGGCTTTCATTTTAGCTGCTTTATGGATTTGAACTTCCTGTTGGAAATGCTGTTTCATTGGACAAAATGAGCATTTATTGTGTTGAATTGCTTTACAAGGTAGCTGCAATTAATTTGGTTAATCTACTGTCTTTTCAGTTTTTATGCTAATGAGTATTCACATATTCTTCGGCAAAACTATGATGTCATCTTAGGAAGACAGCCTCAATGTCACTTTGGTTCGTACACAAAAAGCCCTGCATTTTTGCAATTTTGCTGAACTAAATGTTTACTTCTTTGCTGATTCATTGTTGTTTATGTGCACAACATGCAAGCATCAGTATCTTTCTTAGAAACATTTTCAGTAAGTAAATTCTGGGTGACATCAGAGCAACAGTGGCCTCAGTTTTCCACAAAACCGTGAATAAATTAAGTGTTTAAAAAGTGCACTTTTCAATGCATTCAACCTAATATGAATGTAAAAGAGTTTGATGAATTGAAGGAGAGTTCAAAGTTGCGAACAGTTGGTTGAGAAATATTCATTGCAGCTACACTTTAACATATACTCTACAGTTTTTTATTGATGAAGAAAAATACTTTTGCTGAACAAATTCACAGTGATACAGGATTATGTATCATATATTGAACAAATATAAATTTCTCCTGAAATTTTCAAAAAATACTCGCTGTGAGTGCCATTTTACAATATCTGCAATAAATTCACTGGATAATTTTCTCATGGGCCATCTATTTTTCATCATTCTTGCAAAGAGCACTTTCTTTGCGGACTCCTTTCTTTGTATGGAAACATACAAACAGAAAAGGATAAAAAAAGATTATAAATCAGCAGTGGTTTTTATCAGTAGATTATTTTCAGAAGTATACTTGGTAATGAAAAAGTGGATGGCCGCAGTGTAATTATGTGTACATGTCATTAACCCTAACACTCCTCAATCCTTCACCTGTTGGAGGACTGAGGACTGTTAGGGTTAAAGGCTGAAATGTATATTTTTCTAAAGATACTTTATTGCAGATATATGTATTGAAGGTATATTAAAACAAAATTCTATATTATATAAACATTCTTTAAATAAATATTTGTTGATATTCAGCCTGAGGTATTTTGGTAATGGATTTCATGTCTTTGTACTACTTGAATGAATGGTTCAGCAGGATTTATGAAAGCCAAATGTTCTCTTAGCTTGCTCACTCTGATATCCAGAGTTGGTAGATGCCAAGTGACGGTTTGCAAGCCTGCAGCAACCCATTTTGCCGTGTGATGCTGGGTTCATAGAACTTGCATTCATGACTCCAAAAGTGGGGAGTGCTTCAGTGTCAACACCCCATCCAGGCTCCTGCTGGCTTAAAACAAACGCCAAACCATATAGCCAAGTTTGAGAATGAATGTAATGGTTGTATTCATTTGACATGTTGGAGGTACAATTTTCACTTGTGTGCCTTCGCTAGACGTGTCTCCAAGTCAGTAGTTGGTCGGGTTTTGTTCCCTAGCATGGTTACCCCATGCCCATAATATGAATGATTGATCTCCAATAATTGCATGTCAACCTAAAACCAGTGACCATGTGGCCATGAGGTTTGAATCAGTGGTTTGCAGTGAGAGGTTGGCGGTTCAACTTCAGCAGCTACCAATATGCTGAGGCCTTGGACAAGTCACTTTGCCTCTACTTCCATCTCATCACTGATGTAAAATCGGTACCCATGATGGCAGACCATAGGAGTACTGATATATACCAGCTGCCGCGGCATGCTGACTGGTCTTGCCTGATGTACCAATTAATGATTGTAATGAACTTATTAATAATTGTGAAATATTAATTGAAAACAATGATCTGTAATCCAGTGGTTTTGAACAATAAAATACATGAGTCTCACCATGATGGTCTCACACATTGCTTCGCTGGTGAATTTCAGCTAGGCTGACAGACAAAGCATGGCGCAAAACCTTTCCGTGAGGTTTCGGCTTTGTCAACTTTTAGATAAAATAAACAGTGGCTTCGTGCTTTACTGACAACAAGTTTGCCTCAATGTGTTTTCATTAACAAAATCATTGTCATCCAAAAACATGAAGGGAAACATTTAGCTCAAGCAGCACCAGTCCCCCCATGGCAGGAGGGGGGACCAGATGTAACATGCTTTGAGTTTGACAATGACTCTACCTCATCTGGTTCAAGTGTCACATGAAGTGAACCCCAAGTTGTGGTCGTAGTTCGTTGTTATTCACTATAATTTTGCAGTCAGTGTTTTTGTGGCCAGTTTTATTATTACAGAAATGGGCAGTGAGGTGGCACGAGATATAGATTGTCACGCAAAACAAAAGCACGCTTGCAACATGGTGAACCTGGGAGAATATTATAATATTGGCGATATTGTAAGCTTGGAAATTCACCTTTTCGGCATGGGCGTAAATCCCAGGGGGTGGGGGTATATACCCCCACACATTTTGGGGGGGTTGAGCTATTGAATCATACCCCCCACCACCACCACTTTTTGTGATGAGCAAAAGAAAAAAAAATAATGCTGGTTGTGAACAATTTGTTATGATTTTCTCAACGACTGAATTGTTTGCAAGCAATAAAGAGGGAAAACAATTTTTTAAAAAACCATAAATGTGCTATTTTGATGTAAGATTCTGCATGAATTGCATAAATGTTACAGATCTCCATCTTTATCATGAACATCGCCCCCTACATAATGTAACTTTTCAAATTTCAATGGCCAGGCAAGTCTCCTTCCCCATCCCCATCCCCCCAATTTCCAGCACAGATTTACGCCACTGGTTTTCAATCTCCATTATAGACTTGCTTTTACAGGACGTAATTTGTCAAAGTGTAGAGCGTAATCTAATCTTTCAAGTTAATTAATATGCACCCCGGGTTAAAATGCACATTACACAACATTTCCTCTATAAAGGCAAATCCGAAACATCTTAAATGTGTCATGCTTTTAATCCTGGAGCCTCGTAGGCGGATTTCGCCCCTGCCCCCACTCCAAGCTAGCTGCCCTCCCAAGCCTGAATGTTCTGACACTTTCAGTGTGTGTAAAGACACTCCATAACACAAACGAGGTTTCAACTCCCGTAAGTCAGACCTTTGTATTGGTCACACGCGTCCTTTGTACTGGTTGCTCTATCTTCTCTGGCATTACTTGTCGCGCCAAAAACGTCTGCGCATGTACTTTTAAAGGCGTATCCAGGTTTTGGTACCTCGGGAAAAAGAATGTATTTTTCTCTTAACTTGACAATTTTTTTTTTAACATTCATAATCCCTGTTAAGTGTTGGTATACCGTTTGAGAAGTGTAAAAGTTTTCAATCTCACAACAAAATCGTAACGTGCCAGGGGCAAATTGGGGAACAAGTGGCCACTGGATTCGTTGTTCGAGGTAAGTTGAGAATGAATTGAATTTTAAGTGTTTGGATATTATTATTTTTAATAATTTCTGGTAATGACACCAAGCATCCTCAAAAGTGCCCTATGTGGTATGGTCTACGGACAATGTACTTTCATTGTTCTTGTAGAAATATTCTGTATTATGCAACTGTTCCATCGTTATTGTCTTGATTCAAATCACTCCTTTCTGTCATCATTTTCTCATTTTTGCAAGGCTCTCTCACCGTATTGAGTATAAACATGAAATCAAGGCAGGATATATTTTTCTCTTGTAATTGCTCGTTCATGAACTGTCTATTTTTCATTACCTACGTCTAAATACTGTTCTGACATTGTCAAACAAAACTTGAGCTCAAGTTAAAAACGTAAGTTAGGGTTATAGTTTCAACAAAGAAGTTGGGCTTTTTATGTTTGTTGTTTTCCGTCTTCTTTCTGTGTAAAATCCGCTTTGTTATGTGAAGATACTAATCAGAAAGTACACGCCAAAAATCTAAAATTCCAGCGAGAGCTTAATGAAATTGTTTGCTTGTTGATTAAATTGAATACCTGACATTCTCTCTAAAGAGGTCCAACAAAATTGAATGAACGAATCTATTATAGAGATTAGCCTATGCATTGATGCGTCCTTGAGGGCAAAGGGTTTTGTATCACTAGGCTGGAGTAATCAATCTTTTATGCATTCGTTGTAATTAAATGGAAATAACGAAAACAGTATCCGAGACACCACACATAGAGACGCCAGCAACACAGTGAAATTGTTCATTTATGTAAGGGAGCATTCAATTAAAAACGAATTCGTATGAGCCCCGTGATTCAATGATTTTTAAATATAAAACCTATGTATAACAAAAAATGAGCATAACACCGGTTCATAAGGAGATCTTAGACAAGATAGGTTATGATTTAAAGGAGATGGGAGAAAGCAAAGGAAGAAGATAGGGGCGCAACGGAGAAAAACACAAAGGAATAACAGAGCGGAGATAATCAAAGAGATCATTGTTATGTTCGTTATGTTCGGCCAACATTTTATTGGTTTGGATTACAAACTTGCTGGCTCTTAATAAAATGAAAAGTCATTTTTCCGTATGGTGGTGTTTTAGTGTACCGAGAAAAATGGACTGAAGTCATCTCCTCTGGGCCCTGGATCAGAACAGGGGGAAATGAAACTTTACAGTTTGTTTTATTTTTTTTCCACGCTCGCCGACCCTGAAAAATTCCATACTATGTTATTAATCCAATAAATAAAAAATGCTGGCCTAGTGCAGTTTGCGTTGACTTTCATGTTTAATTTCCCATCTATCCAAGGTTACTCTTTATTCAGTTTAAAAGATTAATAGGCGATAGTTTGGATATCATCTGACTGAATGACTGAACTAGACAATAATTCCTGCATCTTGCCGTTATTTCCCTTTATTTAAATGAAAAAGAATATGCAGAAATGAAACGAAAATGAAAGCCAGTTGCAGGGAGTAACAACTTTAAGGGGGTAACCTTTTATTATGAAACAACAATAGCGGTAAAAAAAAACTTCAATTTATGACGTTCAAACTGTGACTTTTGAAAACGATTTTGAATGACAGGTCTATTGGTAAACAGGAAGACACGGGGCCGCTTTTTTACCATTGCTGCTTTTGTTCACACCGCCCCCTTCCTTTTGGAAAATTCTGGATCCACCCATGAGCTAGGATGCTTTCGCGACATGCACACGTTTTGCACTTGCTGAAATAGTACGTATTTATAAATTGATAGTTTTTGTTTTACTTTATCGTCACATTCATCTTGACATTAAAACTCGTTACTACTACACTGAAAGTAAGGGCATCGCGAAAACACTACAGGGTGCACCCTGGTAATTAGGCCAGAAATATGTCCGCATCAAAATATTCTATATTAGAGGGTCCTGAGAGCCACGGAACTGAGGAATTCAAGAAATATGAGACTGGACCTCTGGGCCGGACTCGGGGCTTCCAATTCTGAGCAGT